CCAGAAGGAGCCGAGGCGGCTGCGCGATGCTTTCCATTTCGTGTGACATTTACTTTGAAACCGTGTCAGTCCTGGCGATGGCTCCTCGGGCGGCAGGGACGCCTTGGGTGGCCTCACCACAGCAACAGCCGCTGCCGTGGCGCTCGTTTCGGGTGTCCACCTTGCGGGTGGAGGGGGAGCGTGTAGCAGGAGGCAGGGATGGAGCGGTTTTACACATAACCCCCCAGGTGAGAGCGATCATCAGTACAGCAGTGAAGAAAAGAGTAACTAGATGAATTACCAATTTGCAACACGGGCAGAACAGGGTGTGCAGCTTCTTATTGACAGACAGCTCATTAATTTACCCATCCTTTACCTTTATTCAGTGTATTGGTAAACAGAGTTTATGGTGTCTGTAGAAATGATTGCTGTCGGTTTTCGTGCGTCAGGCTGATTGCTGAGGGATGATAATATGACTAAACACTTACTTAACCTTTAAATACTTTTTTTTTTCCTGTGTTTTTTTTTAAGGCAGCTGTGTTGATGATTAGCAGATGCATTGTGTTTACTATCTGAATTTTCAGCAAATTGTCGTGAAAATATAGGATGAAGAGTTTCTGTTAGCAGAGTGGGAAATACTAGGAGGTGTCTTTCATGCACTTCAAGCATCTTTTCTAAGATTTAAAAAGTAGATGCAAGTGTGTGTGTGTGCTTATACACACACACACACACACGTGTGTATATATATAATATATGTATTATATGTATATATTCACTGTGGTACAGTGAAAAGCAGATGTAATTTGATAAATTAGCTTGGACCAAAATGTAAATAAAGAAGTGGTCGAGCTTTAAATAACAGTTAGAAGGGTAACACTTGAAGACTGTAAAAGTGAATGAAGAGATGTTGTTACAGTCAAACAAAAGCTGTCTTGTGTTTGCAGAGCTGCTGGTACGTAATGGCCTGGGGACTGACGTAAATAAACTTATCATACTTGTGTCTTGTCTAAATATCACAAGACTTAAAGTTCCTCAGATCTGATACCTTCTTTAGCTTGAAATACATGGCAGCTTTTAGAACATGCTTCTCTGTCGCATGTATATTTTGAGCTTATGTTGGAATAAATACTAATTGCAAAACAGAAACACACCTGAGGAAAACTTCTTTAATACAGTCCAATATACACATTTTTTTAAAGCATACTGACTGTAAGGCCATTTGTTTTTTCTCAAGGTTGACCTGGAGAGACACAAGAACTGTATCCTGCGCTGCTATCCCCTTGTATCTGTCATTAATACATTAGGCAGGTAGTATTGGTAGCCTTTTATAGGACCCTCCTGTTGATCTCTGCACAATCCAACTTGAGCTGCTTTGGTTGGGAGTTAGGTGAGGTGGGATCTTTGCCCGTACACAGCAGAAAAGCATTGCTTCAAAGGAAGAATCCTAATGATATAAAAAAAACTTTAGAGGAAATTTACTAGCTATTTAATGTTCAAACAATCACTTCTGTTTTCTACTCATGCGTTGTGTTAGGTCCTGTTTGTAGTTGATATGGCCAGTATGGCCATGTAAAGTAGATAATGCCAGAGGGGTTTTTTATGAAAATTTTCATATTTTTCTTAAACTAGTCATCTTTATCTGTCCAGTGAGACTGATATTTTCTTGTCTTAGGATGTAAACTTTCCTCAGTGTTAGTCTTTAGTTGCCAAAGAGATTGTTGTTTGAGAATTACATTTATGAGGAGGAGAAAAAAAAAGCAGTTAGAAACCACACAATTAAAACATCTAACATGAAGTTAATATGACTTGTGACATCTGTTTTTCAATTTGTCCTTGGATATGTTCATCTACAGTTTTAAAATGGCTACAATTCATACTCTCCCCCCCCCCCAGAGAGGGGCTTCTAAAATACCAGACTTTTAGAGCTGAGGTATTTAAAAATAATGAGAAGCTTTAACTGATGGTACCACTGCAATCTGAGTAATAAGTTGTGGGGGTTGTTTTTTTTCCCCCTCCAAAGACAGTTGTTCTAAGTCCTGATGATCTACACTTTGGCTAAAATTTTAGCTATGAAAATGGAAGAGAGGGGGATTTTTAGGACTTACTGGGGAAGGGGAGAAAATGTTCTTAGAAAATAACTGGCTGAGCTCAGAGGCCTAAAATTGACTGTGGTGTGTGTTTTGGCTTGCGATCGGGTCGGTGTTCCTCTTGCCTGAAGAGTTCTCAAACGGGAGCCAAGGGAGTTTTTCTGAAGCAGCTGACGGCTTCGGTAGTTTGGCAGATAAAATCCTTAAGAACTGAAAATTAAGTCAAAGCCACAAATTTTGTCTGCCCCCTTTTTTTTTCCTCATTCATAATTAATCGACTTTTTTTTTCTTTTTTTTTTTCTTTTTTTTTTCCCCTCCATATTTCTAACTGCACATTTCTCTGCTTCTAACTTGAAGCTCAGATCTGGAAAATCGAAGTAGTGTCCTAGTAGCTGTCTGTGTTCTAGAGTTTTGGCTTGTCTTTTAGTTAAGTTTTTTTTTTTCCCCCATTCATTCTGATTTTAAAATGCAATTTACAGTAATTTAATTTGTACTTTTATCATAGTATAAAGGGAAGTGGCAACATGGGATGAAATTAACTTTCCAAATGTCTTAGCAGAGGACTTTGACAGGCGGTAAAAGAGGGGTGATCATGACTAAACTGGGAAAGATCTTTGAGTTATTTTTATACTAGTGAAAAAGATGTGCTTACTTGAGAGCAAAGAAAAGCAGCATAAAATTTTAGATCCTTAATTAAAATCAAGAGCTGACTGATCACTTGTTATCCCTCACTGTGTTCCCCTACTGCAACCCCCCAGGTGAAAATAAAATTATTCAGTGTCCAAAGAGCAGGTTATTTTCTGTGAGATGGGAAACTCTTGAGAATGGAAGGGAGACTGATAATGGAGAAAGAGAAGCAGTCTTGAACCCCACTGATCTTAGCAGTCTGCTAATCAAGAACTACTAAAAATTTATTCTTTTCTGCCTTAGCAAAGAAGAATAAATGGCCTTTGAAATCAAAGGAAGAGAGAATGGAGGGATCTGCAAAAAAGGGATATAAAATGAAGATTAAAGGAGCGATGAAAGCAGAGAAAAGGATTGGGGAAATAGATTATTAAATGCACGTGTGCAAGGTGGATGGAGGAGGACGAGTGGCATAAACAGAGGAATGCGAGTTCATACCTGCCCCGGGTGGGAGAGGCAGCGCAGCCCGGAGAACTGCTGGCGCAGGAGCAGAGACGACGCACCCAGAGCTGCTCTTCGTCAATTGAGAAATGACTCATGATCCTCAATCAATAATTTAAAGAAAATGCTGTAGGATTACATGAAATTTTAGAATAATGTATTACTTTGTTGCCATTTACGTTTTTTTCAGTTACATCAACTTTGCAAATTGACACTTAGCATTTGCAAAAGGCTGTTTTGGTTCTGGCAAATCCCCGAAGAGTATTGGCACTGTACAAAATTTGAAATATTACACATAACAGAATGGTTGTGTAACTTCCTAATGTGCCTTGTCCTACTATGAGCTTTCTCAGTTTAAAAGTCTGCGCCTGTGTTACATATTTTATTACTCTGAGTTGTCATGGCCTCTAGTGATCGATGCCCAGAAACATACTACACCATGCGATCAGCTTGCTGGACTTGAGATGCTGGGCAGCTCTTGCTTAAAACTTTAACCACTTGAGTCCTGTGAGTTTGTCACTGGTACATACGCTTTCATTGGGGAAGTGTCACACAGTGGGAAAGGGACTGGAGACAGAGCTTCAGGAATGTTATCTATGGGATTGAGAAGCACCTTGTAACTCCCAGACGTCGCATGAATGAAAACCTTGCTTGCCTGTATACTCTTGCCACGTTTGGTTTCCTCCCCTTTCCACATATAACTGGCTTTTGAGGAAAAAGCCTGCAAGATTCCTGAGAAAGGAAGGATCAGGAAAATAAAGACTACCAAGATTAATACCTTGTAGCTGCATTGCAGCTTTTATTTTAAAGGTATAGAAAGTGATTCACAGACCAGATGAGCTCCTCGAGTGGATCAGTTCATTGGTTTTAAGTTGTATGCTCTTTACAAATAAAATCGAAATGATGTTCTAGAAACAAGATCAAAATATTTTTAGGGTTAAGTAAAACTGAGGGTGTATGGTTAGTTATACTGCTCTTTTTCAGATTAAGTTTATTTCTTATGTTATTCGGATTTCAAGGTCATATAAACTTTTACAAGATTAGGGCATTTTGAGATAGATTTTATTTTTAAAACTGAAATCTAAATGCACTATTTTAGTGCTTTAAGTGAACAATTTGTCTACTCAGTGTTCAAAACTGCATATTGAAAATTTAGATGCTTAAAAGTAAACTTATCAGTTATTGGCAATTAGCCTGTTGTTATGATCAGTGATAAATAAATTGTAGCTTTCATAAATTAGCTTGAAATGATTTAATTGAAACTTGTTAATTAACACTTTGGCATGGTATTAAAGTCTTTTCTAAAACTTATTTGATATAAACTCTGTTTAAAGAGTTTATCTAAAGCATCACATTTTCCAAGTTATCATTTTCCAAGATATGCAAGAATGAATTTGAGCATTGTGACAGTAAATGTTTGCCTCTTGGTAAGCAACACCAAGTTTAACATTGAAGACTATGTTTAGTTGTGCATTAGCGCGAACGAGCTGTTAGCAATGGCTGAGTATTTTTTACTTTTGGAAAGTATTTTTTTATTTTTTGGAAAGTAAAAAAAATTAATAATGAAGTAAAATTGCCAAAACTTTAAATGCAGGTTTCTATTACTTAGTTCTCCCCTTGTGTGAACAGGCTCATTACTTTCACAAGCTTCCTCTGCTGAGTGCAAAGTATTTATCATTATAGCTTCTAAACCTGTCTTCCATCTCTACCTTCTTGATTTTATTTTTTAGTTAACTTCTTGAAGGCTAATGAAATATCGATAAGATTGTTATCTCAATGTCATAAAAAAGAGCAGTTAGTTTTAAAAAGTCTTCTTTTCTAAACAGAGCTTCTGACTAGACAGCATTTATTTTGAAGTGACAGCTGCTCAGGGAAGATTTTTCTTGGTTTTGGTGAGGATTTCTATCTCCTGGCTCACTGCTAGCACTCGAACCTCAAGCAGTCGTTCAGTCCCAAGCGGTGGAGTCAAGCCAGAGTGTTTGCTGTGGCAGTCTGCAGCAGGAACAGGAGCCTCAAGGTCATCTGCTAGCGTTACTCACTTTTTCTGTCTTCTGTACCCTAGGGAATGGTGACTTTGACATCAGGTGTTATCACAGTAGAAGTCCTTGACGCTGTTCTCCTCCTCCCTGGGAAACCAGTGTGCACTTTCAGTAAAATCAGTAGTAAAGCCATGGGGGGTTATAAATACATATGTAGAAATGCAACTCTTCCCGGTGCATCAGAAAAGACTGTGTTCGTATGTTAGGTAATTCTGCAGCTCAGCTGTTGTTTACAATGTAGTAGCTATGTATAACTGTACAGCCAGATCAGTCTTAGGGAGTAACACGTTTAAAACAAATGTAGGCTACTAGGCTAATATAATACTTTTTCTTCAACTGTTTTATTAGTCTTTAATTTATAAAAATGTCAGGTGGTCAGCTGTTGCATAATTATAATGCAAATTTTTGATTTGTATTTTCAAATCAAAGAGACTCTTACATTGTACTTAACTGCCCATGAGAATACATTTTCATTGTCTATATTTGTGTGTTGTTTTTCAGATTTCTTTACTCAGATGAAGTTCAAATTGGTCCTGAAACTGTTATGACCACCCTTTATACTGCTAAGAAGTATGCAGTTCCAGCCCTGGAAGCACATTGCGTGGATTTTCTAACTAAGCACCTCAGAGCAGATAATGCTTTTATGTTACTTACTCAGGTAGGTTCAATCAAGCTTAGTTCTGATTTCCTTGGAAAAGCAATATTTGGAGAAAAATGGCCAAATAATACTTCACAGTGGGTCTAGCCATGACATAGTCTAGTCTATACAAAAATTGCCATTACCGTATGCTAGCAGTTTTATAGACTTATTCTGACTTCTTATTTGGTAATGTTAATGTGAAAGGAAAGCTTTATTATTATTATTAATTATTTATTTCAATTAAAATGCAATGTACCAGGACATTTCAAACAGCGCCACTTTGCTCTCCAGTGTATTTATATGAATATTGTAACTTTTGTGATAATACTGTATTTCAGTTCACTGTAGTAGATTTGATTTGTACTTATTTCACTTATCATATTGCAAGAATAAAAAACTTTAGCATGAAGCAAAACTTGTGTGCAGTGAGTTCTCTTAAATCTTCAAAGTAGTACACAATTGAAGTATCCTTTAAGGGATAAACACAAGGTATACTTAGACAAATCAGCCTATTATAAATTAAATTATTCTAGAGTAAAAATATTTGCTCGTTAAGTTTGGTGGTTTGACAACTTGATGCTTGCAATACCAGAGTAACCAAACTGGTATTTCTTTATTTTCCTAGGCTCGTTTGTTTGATGAACCTCAGCTTGCTAGTCTTTGTCTTGACACAATAGACAAAAGTACAATGGATGCAATAAGTGCAGAAGGCTTTACTGATATTGACATTGGTAAGTTAGTCTCTGTGTCCGGAGTATTACAGTTCTGAAAGGAACCATACTTTTGTTGCCGCATGGTCCTTCTCTATTCAGATTTGCACAGAATAGATACAAATTATAGAATCTATTAAAAAAAAAAAACCTACTGATTTCATTCACTTTCTTCTTCAAGTGTCAGCAGTTGTAAATTTGGTTACTTTCATTTTTTTCAAACTCCACTCATATATATGTCTGAAATCTTATTCCAGTTCAGTTAAGATGTGTCAGAATTTCAGACTAAGGGTGGTATTCCAGCTGCTTAAAGAAACTGAGCAGTCATTGTTAGCTCCTGTGTTCAGTGGGTTTATGGTACTGTGTGTGACTGCTCATCTCCACCTTTGGTAAGTCCCAATCTGTTGGGACTTCCGTATGTGATATTTTTTATGACACCAGATGTACCTTGCTCCAATTTGGGGCATGTAATAACTCCTGAAGAAGGCAGAATACTGAGATTGTGAAAACACTGTTTTTCAGGCTTGTATGAGAGGAAAAGTAGAGCAGACTAAAACTTAAATATTCACTACAGATTTCTTACCTATCTGTTGTTCTTAAAATGACAGAATGAGTAAGTAATACAGGAAAAATTGCTTTTATAACACATGTGAAAATCATACCTCATATCCTGCGTTCTATCTTCAAGCTTTAGGTTATAAATAAAAGCCTTTCACAAATAAGTTCTATCAATTATTGCTAAATTAGCTTTCACCTAGACTTGCAAGGAGGACTTATTTCTTGTGGTTCTTCGCAGTACTATTTATTGGAATTGGTGTTCACCAAGTAGTTTCTTATACTTTACCAGTATCAAAGTTGGATGCAGTCCTGTGCCACGTGCTTTAGGTGACCCTGCGTATGCAGTGGGGTTGGACTGGATGATCTCTAGAGGTCCCTTCCAACCCTAAGCATTCTATGATTCTATGAAAGTTGTACATATGAACTGTATTTCTTAGGGAGTGGACTGTGTTCTGTTTATATAAAAGAATGAAGAAGTTCTAATAGAATTTTCTTTTTTTTTTTCTTTTTTCTTTGTGACCACCACTTCCAATGTCTGCAGGTGATCTAGACTGGCAGGTGGATGTGCTGATGAGAATAAGACAGTGTTGTCACGAATAGCTTGTTTTTTTCATAGTGTATAGTCATTAGTCTATTTATAGAAATTCATAGTTCTATTTATAGCAATTCTGCTTTTGATCTTCCCTAGCTATGGAAGTTCTTTAGTTCTTTTATGGTCACTATAGAGATTATATGCAGTCTTAGTCCTATATAATTTTAGGAGTCAGGATCATAATATACCATCTTTATGACAGAAAGAGGGGTAGGGGTTTTTAGTTAGGAGTGTACGTCTACCACTCAGATTTACTTTATACACAAGACAAATTGTCTTTTATGCCTCGTTATAAATGTCCTTAATGTTTATTTGTTTAGCTATTAAGCTCACTTGAAATGTATAGAACTGTTATTAGTCTGAATGAATATTGATTCAAATCTTAACTTCTTCTTTAGACACATTATGTGCAGTTCTGGAACGAGACACCCTTAGCATTCGGGAAAGTAGACTCTTTGGAGCTGTTGTTCGTTGGGCAGAAGCAGAATGTCAAAGACAACAACTGCCTGTGACATTTGGTAACAAACAGAAAGTGCTTGGAAGAGCCCTTTCCTTAATCCGTTTTCCACTAATGACTATTGAAGAGTTTGCAGCAGGTGAGTGTTTGGGTTCTTTGTCTTACTGTTGGACTGTATCTCTGCACTATGTGTTTCATCCTCAAGTGTTTAGATGCTTAATACTCTATTAAGATGTGATACACTCTTAATCAAAGTAAATCATCCTGCAGAAGATGTTATGGCCTTTGGAAAACTTTATTGCCATTTTTAAAAGTCAATAGTCAAATCGTCAGTCTGTCATTTGCAAATATGTGTGGTTAAATACAACAGGTTGGAGTAACTCTTAGAATCGCCATAGAAGTGTTTTCTTTTCACAGGTCCTGCTCAGTCTGGAATCTTGTCAGATCGGGAAGTAGTAAATCTCTTTCTTCATTTTACTGTCAACCCTAAACCCAAGGTGGATTATATTGACCGACCAAGATGTTGTCTTAGAGGAAAAGAATGCAGCATTAACAGGTTCCAGCAAGTGGAGAGTCGCTGGGGCTACAGTGGAACAAGTGATCGGATTAGGTATGGCTTTTGAAACTATTTGGAGGAGAGGCAGAGAACTGTGGAAAGAAAGGGAACATATTACTCAACAGTTGCTTCTTTGGCATAAAGATACAGTAATAAATATGAGGGAATTTTCTGGGCAGGTTCGGCTGTTTTTTTTTTCCTTCTTTTTTTCCTTCTTTTTTTGGGGGTGGAACTTAGGCTGTTCCACATAGTAAATATGAAGTCGCAAAGAACAAAGTTTTAGAAGGCTGAATGCATCCCAGAGTACGGAATTCTGGTGATTGGATATTTGATGCATATCCCATTTTAAAATACCAAGTCTTGATCTTTTTTTATTTTGGAGAAATTCAAAAGAATATGGTTTACTTTTGTTTAGCGATCCTGAATACTTAAGAATATCTTTGTGTGTTAACAAAGCTTTTGTCTGCAAAATTGATACCTTAAGTATATCACCATCAAAATCTAATAGAAAACATTACTGAAAATATATTAATGTAATGTCATTTTTAAGCTTGCTCTCCTACTCTTCAGAAGGAATCTGTTCTACTTGACACGGAATAAGGTAACATGATAGTTGTTTAAATTTCTTTCTTGTTTTGTGTCTTGTTAGGTTCACAGTGAATAGAAGAATTTCCATAGTGGGGTTTGGGCTATATGGATCTATTCACGGACCCACAGATTATCAAGTTAATATTCAGGTACAGTATATTCTGTTGAAATAGCATATGTGGAAACTATGCTTGTTACAGACAAGTACTTGCAAAACATCTAGTGTATATTTGAAAGGGTAGGAGAAATATGTCAGGCAAAGAATTTTATCTGTGTTTTGATCCCAGCTGTGATCATAGGCAGGTGCCTAGGAAAAAGTAAGAACAATATGGTATTTTTCTTTCCCCTTCTGGCCTCCAACTATTTTCAGTGTGGGGAATTTCCTGAGAATGGTTTGTTTTCTCTTTTTAGTAGCTCCCAGTGAATCTATCTTTAGAATGCTTGTCCAGCCTAACCTTGAACTCCTGTAAACTTACAGCAAAGAATTTTACAAGTTTCTGGTCTGTTCACTGGACACTAATTCTGTCCTTTATTGAAATTTCTGGTAATTTAGACAGTTACAAATCAGGAAAGAGATCTTGGATTTGTCAGCAACAGTTCTCTGAAAGCAGTGACAACATGTAGTGACCAAGAAAAATACTGAAAACAAGATAGAAGGCGGTGCCATGTTGCTGTATGAAAAGTAGGTGTGCTCACATGTTGAGTGCTGTGTTCAGGCCTGGTCTGTAGCATCCCCAGAAGAGCAGTTGTGCATGTTGGGGAAATGAACAGTATTGTCTGGCCTCTGATCCTGTTCATCAGAAGCACCTTCTGCTGCCACACTCTGAGCACGTTGGACCTAGCAGAGCAGTAGTCTGACCCAGCAGGTTGTACGTTGTGTTCCTTGCTTGCCTAGGACATGTATTGGGCTTAGGGACTTGTCATTGTCCAGACCTACAGCTGTTTGGAAGGATGGACATCTCGTTTGCCACTCCTTCAGGCTTAAGCAGGAGCTGTTTTTATAGCTATTTAAATTTTAGGGTTACTGAGAACATAGCTGCTTTTCAGCAAGCTTCTGTTTTTTGTTTGTTTGTTTGTTTTGTTGTTGTTTGTTTGTTTTTCTCTTTGATGTTTAGTGTAACTTGAAGTTTAGCAACTAGATTTGGTTGCTTATGTAGGAATGTTGACTCTTCAACATATTATGGTCACTGTCACATAGTGTTTCCATTATGAAATTTCAAATCTGATCCTGCTCATCTCCTGGTACCAAATCGAGAGTTGCATTTCCTTCTGCTGGGTGATTGGTAAGCAAGCTCACAAAATGGTCAGTGATAGCATCTAAAAATGTCCTCACTGCCTCGTGTCCTGGTATGACATGGTATGACACTTGACCAACCTGGGAGAGTAACTTACATCATCACTAAATTTCTATTTCCTGTCATGATTGGCTTCTAGTTAGTTAAGTGGGCAGTAATACTGATCCTGCACCATATCAAGTATGGACTGCGAGGCTATATGAGTTGTGTTGTTTATTGCAATTAGTTTTGACTGGATTCTGAGCTTTCTAACAGGTACTAGTACTCTGGGACCAGCGTTCTGCTGTCCTGGTATTTTTGTAACCAGTTTTGCAGCACTCTATAGATGTTCGGGAAGTTTTGTGGAAAAAGAAAATCCATAGCTTCACTCAGCCCATTTTATTCTATAGATTTCTAGCAGTTGTTGAGACTCTTCTTTTGGTTCATTTCTAGGCATCTTTTTGAAACGGCACTTTATTTGTCTTCTGTTTCCAATTAGGTTATTTCCATTCTTTGACCATCCTGTACTTAGGGATAAGAATTTTTGTGTCCATTCCTCATGAAAGAATGTTATGTCTTCTCTCTTATGATGTTCCAGAGAGAATGTATCTGGGATGAAGTTTCAAAGGATTTTGTTGCTTTTTCCACATTCCTCAGTTTGAAAAATCACTTGAAAATTCCTTGATTTGAAATGGCATTAGTTTGTTTTTTAAAACCACATCTGTGCAAGCAGCACAGTGCACTAGGAATAGATCTTTAGAACAAAACAGTTGGTACTGAAAACCCAGCAGCTACACTATGCACGTTCTGGGATTTTTACTTTGTACTAACTCTTGTTTGATCCTCTAAGCTAAATTCCTGGGAGCAGATGAAACACATTTGGTGTGATCCCTCAGTGTACTTTCCAGATTTATTCCCTCTGAAAGAATTTAGTTTTTTCAGGGCAAACCAAAGCATATTAAGTGAAAATTATACATGAATGAGATTCACTTGGAGAAAAAAAAAAAAAAAAAAAACCACTTCTGATCTAACCCGAAAGGCTAGTGCACCTCTATGGTTTGGGTGAAGGCCACATGTCTATACAGTTTCCCTTTATTCTGGAAGCATTCCCAGTTCCTGATGAATCTGATAGCTTGTCACACAATCTTTTCAGACAGGTATTTAAATTTTGCCTTCTACCTCTGGACATACATGAAGTGCTGGGAGAGCTATAGTAAGAGTTAAACACTTTTATTCTTGTCTTAAAATAGTTTAAATTTAAAACATGCATAATTATATGATAGTGGGATTGTTTGTCATTGGAACACTGAAGTACAAGTTTCTTTTTATTTCTGAGAATGTATCACATTATTTGTGAGAACTTGTTTGTTTAAATTAGCCAGAGCCAAGGAGGAGGCAGGGCCTACACCCTAGCTCTGCAGTTCTCATGTGGGCTGTGCAGATGACAACAGCAATTAGCGAATCTAGGTACAGGATCGTATGTAGTCTATGAAGGTCAAAAACAGAAAGTCTAACAACTATCTATCCCTCCCAGGCAAAGACTGTAGCCTGCCTGGAGTGCAGTGCTTGTGGGCTGAGTTCAGGCTGTACAAAAACCTGCAAGCTGTGCTTCAGCCCACTGCTGCCCACTGAATCCTGATGGGAATACTGGGAAATGATACCTGCCCTCCAGTTCTGAGGTTGCACTATCTTTCCTGTAAAACTGGGTGGAGTAGGCAAGGGCCCATGTGTAATATTCTAATATGCATGTGACAGGAATCTTTTCCAAGCTTGTAAACCCCAAAACACCATTTTTATATTTTTATGCAGATAATCGATTATGAGAAGAATCAGACTCTAGGACAAAATGATACTGGATTTAGTTGTGACGGAACTGCCAATACATTCAGAGTTATGTTCAAAGAACCTATAGAGATTCTACCAACTGTTTGCTACACAGCTTGTGCTACACTGAAAGTAAGAACAGTATGGAAGAAACTGTTGTTCTGAGCCAAGGTTTTGTCTAATCTGTATTTGTTTTCTGATGGAGGAGTGTCTTGAATTTAAGTTCAGTGCTGAAGAAGGCTGCAGTTAAATTCTGTGGTAATGTGTAAAACTGCGATAACGCTGTTCTGTGCCACAGCAGAGAATTCATAACTGAAGTGAAAGAGAGGTGGGGATGTTACTTTATCTTCAGTTTTTCTCCTTTGTTTTCCCAGTGCCTTACTCAGAAAGGGAATGGATCCTAATGAGAGTCATCATTTCTGTGTGGGCAAAAGCACAACCTAAGATATTTAATCTGGCAGCTATTTGTATTAAAATTCAAGGTGTGCATGGGTTGTTTTTTCTTCTCTTTCTTAAAGATTGCTTTTATCAAGGATATTCCGGCAAAGAACTATATCCAAAAAAATCAAAAGCTTTATCATTTTTTGTGGAATTCTTGAAATACAGAAAGGAGTGATTTACTTTATTAATGCTTCCTCCTAAAGTTAAAAATAAATTTATTCATACAAATCAATTCATTCAATTAAAAATCAGTATTCTTTTAATTTTAATTTCCTATACAGAAATCGAAGTTGAGTATGATGGAAAAATTACTGCACGTTTAAAAGAAGCAGCTGAGGCAGAGAACTAAATAAGGGTTTGGACAATCAGTATAACAAGGAAAAATACTATAAAACATTTGATCATTATCAGCAAGGCAAAATCAAGTGATTTAAGTCTACTTTCAGTAGCTTTTTTTTATGTAGACTTTGCTACGTAAGTAGCTTTTGCTGCTTTTGTATGTGGTTTTGTACATAAGTGCTGTGGATACAGTATATATATTATAATAATCTAAGTCAATAGACTTCCACACTTCATGAGTTTTGGTGCGTGCTTCTCATTCAGTGACTAATCTCTTCTGATATTTCTAGGGTCCTGATTCTCACTATGGAACAAAAGGTTTGAAGAAAGTGATACATGAATCTCCTACTGCTAGCAAAACATGCTTTGTCTTTTACAGTTCACCAGGTAACAATAATGGTACGTCAATAGAAGACGGACAAATACCAGAAATAATATTTTATACATAAAACCACACGATCACCTTGGATGTGTCAGTGTATCAGTGGACTCTAGCTCACTATTAATGGCAGTCGCAAAATTCTGTGAAATTACATGAATATTTAAAACCAAAATTAACTTGTTTGAGTGGTACCAGAAAAGCTCTTTTCTCTGCATGATTACTGGAAGAATGGGATTAACTTAGCTTTTCCTCTTAACAAAGCCTCAGGTGAAATAACTATGCTGTATGTTGAAAAGATTGTTTTAAAAAGTACCCTGTGATTAATGGCTTTGTGTTTTTACCCCTTAGTCTCTGACACAATGGAATTCACCCTTTAAACTGGAAAACATTATTCATTATGAATTTCTAGTGTACACTTTCCCCTGCCTGTCTTAAAAAGACAGTAAATCTGCTGCTGTATTTCCAGCTTACATTTCTCTTCAAAATAACTGTGGAATGACCCTATGAACCTGCATTTTTTTTTTTGGTAAAGTTTATTAGCAAAACTGGATTGATACTATGGTCATTTTGACTCTTTTGAATGAGGTATGGATAATTAATGGATTTAGCACTTCAGACAACATCAGCAACTGGTGAAGAAATACTAAGTCAAAATCTGCAATATTGATGTATCTAGAATAATTCAGAAGGACTGTTTTGGAACGCAGAGCTGGTTACAGAGATAGCCACTGTATGTACATATGTGCCTGTAAGAAAATGTATAAATGAAATGTGAAAATGAGAATACAAAACTTGTAATGATGTTATTTTATGAATGGATACTCTAATACTAAATACTTAATCCTTAGTGCACTTTTTTTTTGTATACAGCTAGTTTAACAGAGTGTGTACAGTAATTAGATGTTTTAAGGTACATATCTATACTATTTAGCATCCTGCAGTATTTGCTGTGGTTTCACAGGTAAAATAGTGCAAATCCTTCCTGTACAGACTCCTGTGCCCTCTTATGAACTATGTAACAGTTTGGGAACACGTGAGAAAATGCTGATCTCCCCTAGAACCTATTGGAGTCTCTCTACTCTGATAGTTAGAGTACTCCTACAGAGTTTAGTGTACACAGTACAGTGTGTACATTCACCCTGATAATGCTTTTATGGTTGCAGTAAAGTAGTTTACTTTTTAAACCATGGAACTGTGTATCAACTCCCTTCACCTGCCCTTAGTGCCTGTGAAAAGGCAGCTGGTGCTAGAAAAACTGCTCGACTTAGGAGGAGGCTCCTCCTGGAGATTCATGTTTTAAATGGGAAAGCGTTTCTCATTATGGATTTGTAATGCACATTTTCCCTAGTCTGTCCCAAAAGCCAGTCCAGGTGTTGCTCTGGTCACACTTCACATCTTTCTCCAGTCTAACCCCGGAATGACCCTAGAGCCCTGCCTTGCTGTAATTATCTTGCGCTAGGGCCTGTTTCTAGTAATTCTGTAGCCATTTTCCTTTTGACCCCTTTTAGCCGCCTCTCTGTGACCCCGTTGGTGGCCAGGAGGCTTTAGTTGCCCCGGAGCGCGGCCCGGTTCTGCGCGGGAGCCGCTGG